TCACTTTATTTTAAAACACTAAATGGCTCATCAACATATGTGTATTGTCTCTTCTTCTTCACTGGCTCTAAACTTTGGTAGAAAGTTTGGGTTGTTCATCCACTTCTGGATTTGTTCTTGTTCCAGAGTTTTGCATGCACAGCCATTTTACAGATCTGGCTTACTTGTATGCAGACTGTTTGTTCCTCATCTCTCAGGGGAGATGTACTCCACCTTCGAAGGAACCATCCCTAATTAGTCACATACATCCCTAATTAGTCACATACATCCCTAATTAGTCACAAACATCCCTAATTAGTCACAAACATCCCTAATTAGTCAAAACATCCCTAATTAGTTACATACATCCCTAATTAGTCACAAACATCCCTAATTAGTCACATTGTACGATATACCTGTTAGGGGGCAGTGGGTCGATTCGTCTTTCCCCTAAAATGGGGCCTCGGAACCACATGGGGAAGAGGTAAATCTAAGTATGCTTAGGCATCTCTTGCTGTCTCTCTCTCTTCCTCATTATTGTTTCTTTTTCAATCAATGAGCAACCATACAACTAGTTAACAAGCAGTAAGGAAAACACATGCATTTTCAGATTCTTCTTGCAGCCATTTTGAATAGCTCTAATTATTATGTCTGTCCACATCCTTCTGGCTCATGTACTGTCAGTCGTTTCTATAACTGATTTTATTCCACGATGCCAAACTAACATCTTTTTTTTCTGGACTTCCCTGCCTCTCTTCTAATCTTATTTCCTGCTGTCATTATTATTTTCCAGCTGATTCCCTTTTCATGGACTCTCTCCTTTTGTTACAGGTAACAAGTTTTTTGTTTTGTTTGTTTGTGAATGTTTGTTTTGTTTTTGTTGATCTACTCCCAGTGTCCTGATCCCTCTTCTATAAAACCATATCTCTGCAGCTTCAACATAATTTTTCAATATTCTATTGACTGTCCACGATTTACTTCTATACATCAGACATGGCTATTAAGTATTTTCTCACCTCATTCAACAAAGATATATAAAATCTAGGTAAACCTAATGATTTATTTATGACAACCAAAATAAATGATGTTATTCTAAATCTACTCTATCTACTGTCTGAAATACTCTAAAACTATTGTTTATATAAAACGATTTTACTGTTAAGTAATATGGAGAAATAAATCACTATGTAAACATTGAGAACACTGAAAGCAAACAATAAACAAACTGACATGTATTGAGTGACAGCTGTAGAAGAAAGAAACTTAGAAAATAGGACATGCTTTTTCTTCTTCTTCTCTCTCTTCTCTCTTGTTGTACCCACCAGGACATCACACAGAGTGATAAACACAAAGTGCCACCATGCGGATGAGAATCAACCGTGGAGAGGTCCAAGAAACCCCTTTTAGCCTTAAGGCCATATTAATGGCCTGGCTATATCTAGGGCCCCCGGAAAAAGCCAGGGCTTCAAGTAACAAAAAATTGCATCCCATATGGGGACGACTTCATAAGAGAAAGTCTCTTCTTCATCTGAATCTTTCTTCTTCTTCTTCTGCCTTTCTATTCCACAATGGAGCATAGGCCCTCAACCAACTCACGCCAAGTCGTTCTGTCCTTCGCCATTGCATGGAGCTCTCTCCATGTCCTCCCCATCTTTCTAACTTCATTCTCCAGCTCTCTTCTCCATGTGTTTTTGGCCTTCCTTTATTCCTATGTCCCTGTGGGTTCCAATGCAAAGACATTCTAGTTATGCTGTTCTCCTATTTTCTTAGTGTGTTTCCTATCATCTGAACCTCTTCCTCTTGTATAGCTATAGGTGTCAAGGGAGATATAGAGTTATGTTCCTGCTCTTCTGGCCACCTCAACCATATACACATTATACAGTCATAGAGTGGTTTTTTTCTTCTCTCTGATCTGATCTTTCCAACATGTTCCTGGTCTACCTCATTCTCTATGTTCCTTTCCTTTTGTGGTGTATGTCTTGTGTGGTATGGCATCACAAGGCATTCTCATGTATGTCTTGTGTGGTATGGCATTACAAGGCATTCTCTCTAAGTGGGAAAATAAGTTCATTCGCTATTGTTGTATGCAGTTTAATATTGGTTCTATGTTGACCTTTTCTCTATTGACCTCATTCCTGATTTCATCTCTTCTGATCACTCGTGCACTCTTTCTCAGAAATCTCATTTTACTAGAAAACATACAAATCAAAAGCCTAAATTAACATATAAAAAACTGAACTGTCTCTAAAAGATGCGGTGTCTCACTGCTGGAAGAGGTGTGTTTTAGTGCAGTACCTTCGTACTCTACTCTGACGAGTGCCAAATATTTTTATGTAGCAGATCCTCTGCACCCAGGGTGTCCTTGATATCCTGTGTCCACCCATCACGCTGGTCGACTCCAGCCTCTTCTCTCAGCAACAATATCTTACAATACTGTTCCCTTTAAACTACCATGACATTTAGTACAACTAAAACATACCAGTTCTGAGCAACAATGGTCCTGAAATCTCAGGCACTCAACAGTGAAAGATATGTCTCGGCAAGATGGTCTTGCTAGTCACACTCGCCATGGGCTGGATTGCCAATGCTTCCCTATAGCACAGTGAAACACTATCAGATGGAATGACGGACAGGTGCCACATGTCAATTTGTTTATCTTATTGCTAAGCAGCAGACTGCTCAGCTGTTTGAAACTAAAGACATAGTTCGTAACTTCAGAAAGGCACTTTGTTTTAAATTTAAACCCTTTGACTCAGTGACCAACAAAAAAACAGTGCCAAAAACTTGCAGGTTTGGAATTTCTGGGTTTACCGAAAAATTATTTCTTTAAAAAACGAAAATACCATTTTACACAAGTCACATACAAAATTATAACTATTCCATTTATGGACCAGAATAATATATAAAAAATAATGGAAGTAATCAATAAACACAAATGGGTCAAAGAATTGACTGTGTTACATCTCTTTGAGTTAAAAACAAAAATGTTTTATATTAGCAACTAAACTCATTATCGATCATTTTCAAAAGTTGCCCAAGGAAAAAGGAAGCAATGCTGTTAGGGAGGCTCCATACAAACAGGCCTCTATAGCAAAGATTAAAAGGGACATTTATGAGGTCCTGGCACAAACTGGAAACACCCGGTTTTGTCTTCGCGGGACAAGAGGGTTGAATCTACTGGAAGCAAAGAAAGAAACAAACCTTAATCCACACATTTCAGAACGCCAGACAGGACCAATGACATTTCATGTCTCAGTTCCAAAATGTCATGGCCTATACCAGTGGTCAACATCTCGCGGCTCACGAGCCGAATTAAGCTCTTTAGCAACCTGAGTGTGGCTCTTTAGCAACCTGAGTGTGGCTCTTTAGCAACCTGAGTGTGGCTCTTTAGCAACCTGAGTGTGGCTCTTTAGCAACCTGAGTGTGGTTCTTTAGCAACCTGAGTGTGGCTCTTTAGCAACCTGAGTGTGGCTCAGCCAGTCGGCCACAAATCGGTTTGGACTCTGAAAAACAAGGTTCTTGACAGGTTTTTGAAAAGAAATTAGGCTCTCAATTTTTTTTTTATTCGTCCTGCTTCTGATTTTTGGCTCTTTAGACTAAAGAGTTTGCTGACCACTGGCCCATACCAACAAATAAAAAATAATGAATTTTTGCATTTAATTTAAGACTTTACTTTGACATAATTGTTTTGCACCTGAACCCATTTCTGTCAGTTAGGTCAGGGATAAAGGACCCTTTTCCTGCATTCAGGTGCACTGGGCATATAGGGCTAGACCTATATTTTATAGACCAATCAGCACTGGGTGGCTGATGTGGTCAGCATCATGGCAGCCGCTTCTACCTCTCAGGAATCTGCCTGGTACCCATTTGAGGCTGGGTCAACATGAGAGCCAAGGGCACAGCTGAAAAAATTCTGCTGTCCCCTCCACACCGGAGATCGGCTGTGGTGGATACGTGTATCCATTGTCTTTAGGAATACTACATATTGACGACTTAATCTCTTCTGCGGTGTAACTCTCGTAACACTGTCTGAAAACCATGAGGTCTTTTTCTAAACCACCCAGTAAGAAACTCAACCCTTGTACATCTAGGATTGTGAAATGTGCTCACTAATCTTGAAGCTGTAGAGCAGCACAAGGTAATGTGATACATTCTCATTTTAGCTATAGTGCATTCACAAGTTCCTAAAAAAAAGTTTTTTAATTTACTATTTTGCATAATTTTAATTAAATGTAAAATGTATCCTCCAATGGAGCACAAACTCTCAACCAACTCACAAGCCCTATCCTCTGCCACTGCCTGCAGCTCACTCCATGTCTTCCATCATCATCATGTAGCAGGTTCTTTGCAGAGCATCGCTCTCATCACAGTCTGCCTGAAAGAAAGTCTCTCGCCAGTTCTCCCACTTCATGTATTTTCATACTCAAGGAGTCACTTATGTCCTGTGCCTATCTTCGTGTTGGTTGGCCCGCCCCTCCTCCCTGCTACCATGCCTTCTGCTATATTTTTTCCAATCCACCATGACCCCTTGATATGACCAAAAAATGTCAGCTTCCGAGACAGAATGCTGTTTATTAGCCAATCTTCCTTGGTGTTCAGATCTTTTAAAATGTCTTCCAAATCATTTTAAGCTCATTCTTTTATTATCCTCTTCTCCATGATTTACATGTGTAAATTTACATGCGTGTGTGTGTGTGTGTGTAGGGAGGATGTGTGTGTCTCCCTTTATGCCATTGACCCTGTGGATTCCAGCGCCTGGACATTCTAGTTATACTGTTATCAGGTGTTTTCTTCCAATGTGAGTCCTTTACAAACCCAGCATGTTTCGTCACCTCTTGATTCACTGAGATTTAGATAAAATCAAATCAAGTATAATAATGCTTTTTCTTTGAATGGAGGTCTTTAACCAAACTAATATTTATGTTTCTTTCCCCCCCTAGTATTGTCATAAAAACAATGATCGTCAGTTGTGTTAGTAGAATACGCTAGGTCAAATATAATTTATCAAGCTAATGTTAAATCTAATCAAATATAATAGTTATCTTATATATGCATTTTTGACAACTTTGACCAAAGTAATATTTACACTTCTTTTTCCCTTCATGTGGTCGCAGAGTAAACCCATCTTCCACCAAGTCACTCTCAAGGCATCTAATAAACGTATCCTCATCGGCTGGAGCATCCCATGGACCAATGGTGACCTGGGCACTTTCTACAATACATTCATGTTTAGGGTTGAATGTGGCAACTTTAGGCTTGAAGTCTTTGCGGAATGCATAGATATAAACATCGCCAATTCGACTGACAGTTGCCCTGGCCATAGCAGCTTTGATCACCTCATCTTTGATTGCAGCATAGTCTGGAAACTGTGCTCTCTGCGCTTCCTTGACGGCCAGGGCGGCAATCTCTGGCTTCAGCTGCAGCTTGTCCACAAGGGCATGGAGTCCAAAGTAATTGGCATCTCGGAAAACTAGATACGCCATCTCATTTTGTGGCAGTGTCCCGTAGCGTAGGTACTCCAAAATGTGACCAAAGACGGAACCGTTGCTGTCAAGGAAAAAGTTGCCATCTTTGTCTTTGTCGATCTGGTGACGGCCGCTGAACATGGCTGCCAACATGGAGTCTGAGAATTTCAGAAGTGTTGATAAGCGGGTCATGTACAAATGGCCGCCGACATTCAGAGGAATGATAGCTGGAAACACTGATGTGGCAGACTGGTTATAATGCTTTAGGAGGGAGAAAAACATTAGAAAGATATGTAAATACACACATTTAAGCTTTTATTGTCTTCTTGTTCTGCCCTGCATCCCCCAGTGAGACATAGATATTTACCTATCTCACCCCAGACGCCGCCATACTTATTCAACCCAATCTTTAATTCTAAGTCAGCAATCCCGACCCCTTGTATCCCAGATATTGTTGTTATTGTTATCGATCCAGCAGCGCATGAGCTTTCGCCCTTTGGCCAAATGCCATGTAGTGGAATTTGCATGTTTTCACAAGCTGTTCTTTTCCTCCGTACAAGGTGTTCCACTTGTCTGGTCTCGGAGGGAGTAGCGCTCTTTTTGTCTCACTGAGTTTTGGGCACTCAAAGAGATGGTGTTCAACAGTTTCGTAGGAGTAGTTACATAGCTGGTACTCTGGGGAGTGTTGTGGCTGTATTCTGTTTAGATGTCCATTGAGTGGAGTATGTTGCGTTCTAAGTCTGAAGATGGTGGCCTGGTCCCTTCTTGTTTGATGGTTAATACTGGCATTAGGATCAGGGCACGCCATATGTCTATAAACCTCTCTTCCAGTGTCTCCCATGGCTCATATGTTCAACCAAGTCTCTTTGTTTATAGCTCTTATCAGTGTTTTTGCTGTCTGGAGGGTTGTCGCTGTAGGTGGTTGTTCTTGTGTTGCTCCTTTCTTTGCCAGTCTGTCAGCTCTGTCATTACCGTATCTCAGATATAAACATTGCAGATTCATCGACAGTTGCCCTGGCTATAACAGCTTTGACCACCCAATCTTTGATTGCATCTTCAAATCATTTTAAAATTATGTTTGTACTGAACAGGCATCTGATTTAAATGTTTGGGAACAAACATCACCGGAAAATTGGATGAAGACATTAACGTCCAATGGGGTAAAACAAACCAAGTATGGGTAAAGCTAACCCCCCTCCAGCATAAGACGATCCCAGTCAGTACAAAGAAACATCTCAATCAAAGCGTATTTATCCTCAGCCCAAGCTACCAATGACAGGTATATGGTCACACAACAAACCAGAAAACAGAACAAGTCTTTTTTGGGGGGCCCAATGTCTGCTTTGTGCCACTAGGCCTTGCAGGTAAAGAGGCTAGCTTGACTGTCTGGGATGCTGTGCAGTCTCAGATATCAGTGACTCCATCAATCCATCTTCTTCTTGGTCTTCCCTTACATCTTGGTGTTTCTATTTTCATGTTGTACGCACTGACTGCTGGTATCATTGGATTCATTCTCCTTAAATGGCCCAATTATTTCAGTCTTTACATTTTACAGAATTTAACTACAGGAGTTGTCCCAATAGTACTTATCATTTTTTAATTTCTCCCAGGATCTCCTCTAGTTTTGTTCACGGCCTTTCTCAAACATCTCATTTTTATAGGTGGTTAGTTTTCTTTTGTGCTCTTTAGCCAATGGCCAAGTCTGACACTGATAGCACAAGGTTGGTATGAACAGTGCTTTTCTAATTTGTCTTTTTATCTTTATTGGGATAGCCTGATGTTTCAGAATTAAGGTCAGTTGATAAGTGACATTGTTGGCAGGATGGAAATGAGATGTCTGAGAAAGGTGGGAGTAATCAGAAGAGTCCAAATGAGATGTCTGGGAAAGGTAGGAGTGATCAGAAGAGACCCAATGAGATGTCTGAGAAATGTAGGAGTGATCAGTAGAGATCAAATGAGATGTCTGAGAAAGGTAGGAGTGATCAGAAGAGATTGAATGAGATGTCTGAGAAAGGTAGGAGTGATCAGATGAGACCAAATGAGATGTTTGAGAAAGGTAGGAGTGATCAGAAGAGACCAAATGAGATGTTTTAGAAAGGTAGGAGTGATCAGAAGAGATCAAATGAGATGTCTGAGAAAGGTAGGAGTGATCAGAAGAGATCAAATGAGATGTTTGAGAAAGGTAGGAGTGATCAGAAGAGACCAAATGAGATGTTTTAGAAAGGTAGGAGTGATCAGAAGAGATCAAATGAGATGTCTGAGAAAGGTAAGAGTGATCAGAAGAGACCAAATAAGACGTCTGAGAAAGGTAGGAGTGATCAGAAGAGACCAAATGAGATGTTTGAGAAAGGTAGGAGTGATCAGAAGAGACCAAATGAGATGTTTTAGAAAAGTAGGAGTGATCAGAAGAGATCAAATGAGATGTCTGAGAAAGGTAGGAGTGATCAGAAGAGACCAAATGAGACGTCTGAGAAAGGTAGGAGTGATCAGAAGAGATCAAATGAGATGTCTGGGAAAGGTAGGAGTGATCAGAAGAGACCAAATGAGATGTCTGAGAAAGGTAGGAGTGATCAGAAGAGACCAAATGAGACGTCTGAGAAAGGTAGGAGTGATCAGAAGAGATCAAATGAGATGTCTGGGAAAGGTAGGAGTGATCAGAAGAGACCAAATGAGATGTCTGGGAAAGGTAGGAGTGATCAGAAGAGATTAAATAAGATGTCTGGGAAAAGTAGGAGTGATCAGAAGAGATAACATCAGGAATCTTCTTCTTCTTAGAGGTTCACCAGCTGTAAACTCTAAAAGAACTCTGGTTGTTCGTCCACTCCTGCACTTTGATCTTAATCCAGAACTTGAGTTTTGTGTGCACAGCTGTATCACAGATCTGGAACCCACACAGAGAAAATCAGGAAATAAGTCATAGAAAGAAAAAGTCAGCATGGAATCAGTTCTAACATATAGTAGCATGGAATCAGTTCTAACATATAGTAGCATGGAATCAGTTCTAACATATAGTGAACTGGGGATTTCATATGAAATACATTTAGTATGTGCCGAGGTTGTATTGTCAACTGCATATTCAGAAATTACACGTGGCAATAGAACTGGCTGTGCCTTATGCACAGCTGCTGGTTTATGGTGGCTGCTACTTCCTTCAATGATGAGCGTCAATTCTAGTGTTGGACTATTGGGGTTGAATTTAGAATCAACATCAAAGCACTCAGGACACTCCCATAAGCGCTCATTCCCCACCTTCAGCAGCAAATAAAGAGCTCCAATTTCAATAGTACCAGTAGCATGTACATTGGTCAAGAGATTGTAGATTCTAGGGGGGATTATGGGGGGGGGGGTAACTTTGGTTCTGCCAGCTTTGAGGCTGAATATAAGCCTTATGCAGTTAGTGTGTACAGTGCTGGCTTTACCAGGACTGCAATCTATTCAACTTATCACATGGGACAGTGAATGACTTTTTGTAGGGATTTTCTCTGGCATATGAGTAGAACAATTCATTTCCTGCGACTAACTCATTCAGTCCAAAGAATCACACTCCAAATGATACCTAATCATCTCATGATAAGTCCCTTGCTTTTTTTATATTTTTTTTTACATATAATTGAAACATAGGAATAAACCTGACGTCGGTAATGCTCCGCTATTTGTTTAATGTATTCATATTTTTAATAGTAGTTACAGTTACCTTCTAGGGCTTTGTACCCTTTGATGCCAGGAGCGAATCCGTCATACGGTGCTTAACCCACATTTTATAGACTTTATATCATCCATATAGGCTTACTCAACTATTCAATAAAGAGACGAGGGGTGGGGGGGGGGGGGGCATTCTGAAATCAGGAAGTAAAGTAGGAAATAAAGAAGATCCAACGTCTTTAGCTGGTATTACATAATTGTTAGAGTACAGAGGACACGAGTATAATGTTTTAATGTTTACCACAGAGGTGTCTCGTGAAGTGCCTTGCTCATCTTTGTTGTTCACTGTGGCACTATTGTTGCCGTCCTTCCCTCCCCAGCCATGTTGCTGGAACGTCAACAAACGAGGTGTGGGCAGCTGCCGAACTGTGATTATTTCTTCCACTGAATCAGATTCCTCGTCACTGACCGGTTTCCCGTCCATTGTTTAACCAGTATCTTGAAAGTAGACCGGAGATGAATGGCATTTAAACGCAAGAAGAGAGGACTTGTGGACCCCTGGTCCATAACATTCTGTGATTGTGTTTGTTTTCTCCGAGTGCCCTCCCTTCATCCATAGCTACAATCTATTGACCAATCATTGAAGGTTTGAGTTCACATTTTAGCCAATCAAGGAGCTTGTCTCAAATCGGAGTCTGCTGTGATCAACTTCAACAATGGCGGAGGGGAGTCGGTTCCTGGGCAATTCTCTTCCAAAAATAGACAGTATTCCCAATTTACGCATGTTATGCAAGCGCCCAACATCAGCAGCTAATATATCGACACACGTAGCTGATGCAGTCCTCTACCGGTCGTCCAAACCCGATCGTATTACTTTAACAGACCTGGATGAGTTCCGTAAGTTAGGTATAAAGTGCATCATAGACTTCAGATCGCCAAAAGAGTACTTGGCTTCCGATGGACATCGCATTTTGGATGCCGAATATATTCTCTATAAAGTTATTCTTCCAAAGGACAAGTATAAACCCGGAGAGCGTGTCCAGTACGATCGGGTTGCTGTAAAACAAAGTCAGCAAACAGAATCTACTCAAGGCAATGGCAAAGTTCTATCTGAAAACAGTGGAGGAACACCAGAGAAAAAACATTTTTTAATCAACTTCTTTTCCTACAAGTACGTCAGAGCCCTGTTTAAGAGACTGCCCTGGCACCTTTGGTGTCTAGGACTTCTGCATCTTGTCTGGGACATGCTTCTGTGGAATGAATTGAAAACGTTTCGTAAATTTATGGCAACAAAAGCTGTCAGTGTTGGAGGAATATTTGGGCAGTATGTTGATTTAATTGAGGTCAGCCAGCCAGCATTATGTGCAGGTAGGACATCTCTCTCTAGTTATATAAATTAACAGTCCTTCCTTATGTCATCTTCTTGTTTGTCTTGTTATTTCTCGATTTAGCATAGACCCTCTATCAGCTCACACCAATTCCTTTAAAGATTAAAAAAAATGTAAAGTTGTGTTCTACAGCATAATCTGTTGATTAATGATGTAGGCAATATCACGCTCACTTTCCTTAATCACCTCATGCGGAGTTAATTCAGGATATCTTGTTAAGACTTCTTAATACTTTTTATTAAAAAGTTTTTTCAACCAAAATTGGATTGGTGTTTCTAATTATTTCAGTTTCAAGCAGCTCTTAGTATGCATTCACTGTTCTCTTTAACCATAATAATCTCTTCGTGAATGGAATGGACTTCAGAACCTACATCACAGCACTCAGTACATTCCCATAATTAGTGCTTAGCCAAAATCTTGATCAGCTACCAGAGTTCCAATTCCAGTGGTGCCGGTAGCAGTTTGATAATGTGTCCTTTTTGCCTCTCCTCTGAATGTTGCCTGTGGGTCCTGGTCACTCCTGGTCACTCTAGACTGATGATCTGTTTGTGCACATGTTATTGTTGATTTGCTCCCTTAGAGCCTTGATTACATCTAGCTTGACATGTATCAAACCCCTTACACATTTTCTAGAAAAGGGGACTCTCAAGGTGTCTAAGTCTTGTTTAAGTTTCTAATAATAGTGTTCTAAATGGCACATATATAATAATAATAGTTTTCTAATAACACATGTAAAAGCTTTAAAATGTAATTTTTCTAGATGTGGGGAGGGAAGAGGCACAACACCCTCAATGATATTTGTGGCAGGTTGGGGGCAAAAATATTTTTGTGGAAGATGGAGTGGCACAGCCCCCTCAAAATATTTGTGTGGGGATGGGAGGGGCAGCGGCATAGCCCCCTCAGCAATATTTATGGGATGGGGGAAAGCCCCCTAAAAAAATTTGGGGGGGGGGGGGAGGGGAACTGCTGCTCAAAAATAATTCAAATCTTCACTACTATAAACTACAACCTCTGTATATAAAGGGAGCTACTGTTGTCACAGGCTGGTACTGACCAAGTTGAAAATGGGATTTCCCCAACAGCCACAACTACTGTGAAAAGTATACACTGATAATTGTTGATACTGGTTATTTAGACCCTAGAAACTTACCAGAATTGAAAAACTTCATCCTTCTTCTTCTTCTTCCTGTTCACTGGCTGTATACTCAGGCAGAAAGTTCTGGTTGTTTATCCACTTCTGGGCTTTGGTCTTATTCCACAATGTGAGTTTTGTGTGCACATGTATTTTACACATAGGGTTGATTTTTATGCGGTCTTTTGGTTTCTCACTTCTCAGGCAGATATACTTCGACAGAAACATCCTGAATTAGTCGGACTGATTGTTGGGGAGTGGGTCATCTTCTCCATTTGGCTTTACATCTAAGAAGGGTATATTGGATTGACAGATTTGTCACATATAGATGTATAGGAACTACAGGAAATGATAGACATTGTGGTGGTAGAAAGTGGAAGAATGGTCCTCAGTTTGAATAATGGAAAGACAGTGATGGTGGTATCAAAGAAAAGAATTGTTCCTAAATGTGTAATAAAAGTCAGTGGTGTTATTTTGTGAGAAGTACAGAAATGTAAGTATCTGGGCACATGGATAACATTATATGGAAGATGCATTACTGAGATAAGAAACAGAATAGGACAGGCAAAAAGTGTATTATATAGAATGGAGAACATCTTATGCAATATATCTTCATCATTGAAAGTTAGAAAAAGAATTCTTGCTTGCTACATACATCTAGCTCTAACATATGGCTGTGAGTCCTGGACAGTCGGTAGGCAGGCCAAACAATTTCCCAAGGCCTCAAAGATGTGATTTTACAGAAGAATGCTTAAAATACCTTGGACAGCCAAAAAGAGCAACTAAGAAGTTTTGAAAGAGGCGGGAGCCCAAAGACAACTTATCAAATATTTCAGAAGACAGTCATCATTTTTCGGCCATGTTATGAGAAGAGAGAAAATGGAACAAATTGTGACCACTGGAAAAGTCTGTGGAGGAAGGGATAGAGGAAGACAACGAGAGAAGATTCTTGACAGTCTTGTTGCATGGCATGGAGGTGTGTCGGCACACGAACTGATACATGCTGTAGGAGATCATGGATTATGAAGAGGCATGATCGCCCACGCCAGTCGGCAAGGCACCTGATGATGATGATGAGATATGTAGGTATGTCACAGAAAGATGGTTAGATTTACCAGAGATTGATCGGTAGATTAGTCACATCATAGATAGATGGTAGTTTTATTATTAGTAAATTGGTAGATTTATCATATCATAGGTAGATAGGTAGGTTTATTATTAATAGAATAATATTAATATAAATAGTAAATTTATTATGAATAGATGGATAGATTTATCATATCATAGATAGATGGGTAAAGGACCCCTTTCCATGGCTTTATTTATATTGGGCGTGTAGGGCTAGACATATATTTTATAGACCAGTCGCCACTCGGTGGGTGATGTGGTCAGCATCTTGCAGCCGCCTTAACTTCCCAGGACTGTACCTGGTGCCCACTGAAGGCTGGGTCAACAGATCGGTGGGTAGGTTTATTACTAATAGATTTGTCTTTAAGAGATGGGTAAAATTGTCATGTCATAGATGGATGGGTAGGTTTATTATTATTAGATTGGTAGATTTATCATAAATAACTGGGTAGAATTAGGGTAATCTTAGTTTCAGCTTCATAGCAACTGGGTCACCCTATTGTCGCTCCGCTCCTGTGCCAACGAAAAACACACAGAATGTTCATCACAGTCCCTTGTGGAAAGATTGACAGACTGTTGTCTCAGCATATCTAGCATACACACACATTAAAAGCATACGGTAGCCATCCGAAGTGCTAACACAAACAGTCCGACATTAGAAATTTAGTTCATCATGGATGGTAGCAGAAGTCACCAACAGATCAGCAGTTGCACACGCGATCAATTTTAATCACACAATAGCACCACCAATATTGCAACAACAGGCATCGCGCAATTTTCTGAATTTACAGTTCACACCACCACGTTGGTCACAGCCGAAAAACATTCCAGATGAAATCCGCAGCTCACAGTGTCACGCCATGCACTCAGCTCAGAAGCTGGGTGACGAAACTATATCCTTTCAGTCTACAAATGGAGCAAAAATGCAGCGGGTACCGTCAGGCAGAAGCAAAAAATTTTCCATGGCTTCAAACAGTGGCCGTGCCCAGCATCCATTTTTACCTAAAGTCTCAGAAGAATTATAGTATTATAGAGATAGATCGATAAAAGAAAGAAAAATTCTAATTGAATCTCAACTTTTCTTCAATATATGTTAACTGATCCCTCATTGTTGTTGGCTCAACATGCACAACTCTTCAGTCAGGTGGTGCTTCCCTATACGGTCTCAGTACATTAGATTTGTCTAGATTTATCTACAGATTTAACACATATGGATGGGTAGATTTATGACATATAGATAAGTCAGTCTGTCACAATTTGATAGGAAGATTAAAAATAATCTGTTATCTATAAATCTTCTTGGCGTTCTTCGGTTTCTTATGCTCAGATCAGACCATCAGGTGGGTTGCTTCTGTGAACTCATATGTCAGTAGCAGGTCCCTCATTGTTCCCCATAGCTTGCTCTGCACACTTTGCTTTTGATGCCAGGTGTCTTTTCGAAGTTGTAGGTAGAGTGGGCAGGTCTGCAGAATATGCTCAGGTGTTTCTGGTCCTGTCTGACAGGCACACTGTGGGGACTGTACAATCTTGATTTCATGTATGTGGTAGTTGAGCCTGCAGTGTCCTGTTCTACCATCTATAAATCTGTTTTATATTAAACTATAAACAAATCAGGATTCCTGTCTTATCACAGCTTTGAAGTTGAGTTTAGATTCTGAAAGTGGAGAGATCCCAGACGTGGCCAGCGAACATTCCAGTGGAAGCCAAGATGTGTGAATCAATGGAGGGCATGGGTTGCACCACTGTCTGCATAGAGACCTTTGGACTTCTCATGCTGCAATAACCACCGGAAGGTAGAACAGATGGGGCCAGCGAGCATTCTAATGGAAGCCAAGATGTGTGAATCAGTGGAGGGCATGCTTTGCACCACTGTCTGCGTAGAGACCTTTGAACCTTCTTGTGCAAAAAGCACTGGGAGGTAGAACAAGAAGAAGAAGAAGAAAATACCACTTCTGAATCAGCCATTGAAACACTGCAAATTGTAAATATACACAAATGAGGATTGTTCTCTTCTTGCAGCTCTAAAGCTGATCTCAGATGCAGATAACTTACCAGCCCTGATTAACTGCGCCTATGGGAAAGATAGAACTGGGATCATTAGTGCTCTAGTCCTGTCTTGCCTAGGAATGCCCAAGGATGAAGTGGCCAAAGAATATGCAATGTCTACGGTAAGTTTTCCCTAGTCTGCTTTTGTGTGTGTGCATGCGTGTGTGTGTGAGAGAGTGAGAGATGCACCTGCCTGCTTCTGTTGGATTTACAAATATCTGTACTGCCTGTTTTTACCACAGTTTAGGATAGTGAGCATGGGGCGTCTTGAGCCAGAGGATTTAGGACCACATGACTAGGTGCTGTCGCTACAATCCATGCAGGTTAGGAATTTACTTTTGCCACTGACAGACAAAAATCTTTCACCTTACTGAGGATTCAAGCACTAAAATAAATGAGAGCTGTGGCGTCATAGTGGCCAGATATTGCAGTAGCTAGACTCTTGCCTGTTGGCTGTAATGTCTTGTGTATGAACATATTTTGAGCCAGATTTTTTCTTCTTTTCAAAACTGACATTGGCTTTTAGCTTGACCTAGCCTAAAATGTCAGCAGGTAATGTGCGGGGAAGTAAAGGTGGCCAGCATAATATTGTCCACAATACCCCCCATGGGTTGATTGATCTCTAAATAAAATAGGTATAGCATCATATGCTTGACTGGTCGCGTGGTGCAGGGTTTCTACGTGCCGGCTGAGCTAGTTTGGTGGGCTGTCATGGCAGCTAGGCTGGATTCAATTGGTTGCTGGTTTCTACTGGGTTTGTCTGCTTGGGTCGCCTCTGGATTGCTAGCTTTTCGTGTGATAATGGTTGCAACGGTTGCTCTGTTTGGGTTCGGCTCTCCCACTGATGATATCCTGGGCTCTTGACATCTCTTTGTACTCCCTTGCATTCGGGTATAATCGTTCTGAGGTGGGGTAGACAGTCTTCGAGTGAACTGGTTACCTGCATCAGAAGATTGAATCCACATTTATTAGGGTGATCATAAGAAGTGACTTGAGTTGATTCAAGAACTGGTTACCTGCATCAGAAGATTGAATCCACATTTATTAGGGTGATCATAAGAAGTGACTTGAGTTGATTCAAGAACTGGTTACCTGCATCAGAAGATTGAATCCACATTTATTAGGGTGATCATAAGAAGTGACTTGAGTTGATTCAAGAACTGGTTACCTGCATCAGAAGATTGAATCCACATTTATTAGGGTGATCATAAGAAGTGACTTGAGTTGATTCAAGAACTGGTTACCTGCATCAGAAGATTGAATCCACATTTATTAGGGTGATCATAAGAAGTGACTTGAGTTGATTCAAGAACTGGTTACCTGCATCAGAAGATTGAATCCACATTTATTAGGGTGATCATAAGAAGTGACTTGAGTTGATTCAAGAACTGGTTACCTGCATCAGAAGATTGAATCCACATTTATTAGGGTGATCATAAGAAGTGACTTGAGTTGATTCAAGAACTGGTTACCTGCATCAGAAGATTGAATCCACATTTATTAGGGTGATCATAAGAAGTGACTTGAGTTGATTCAAGAACTGGTTACCTGCATCAGAAGATTGAATCCACATTTATTAGGGTGATCAGAAGAAGTGACTTGAGTTGATTCAAGAACTGGTTACCTGCATCAGAAGATTGAATCCACATTTATTAGGGTGATCATAAGAAGTGACTTGAGTTGATTCAAGAACTGGTTACCTGCATCAGAAGATTGAATCCACATTTATTAGGGTGATCATAAGAAGTGACTTGAGTTGATTCAAGAACTGGTTACCTGCATCAGAAGATTGAATCCACATTTATTAGGGTGATCATAAGAAGTGACTTGAGTTGATTCAAGAACCGACATCACAGCACTCGGGGCATTCCCAGAAGCACTCCGTTCCTATCTTCAACAGCCAGCGCAGAGTTCTGATATTATAAGTGGATAAGTGGAAAGTTTAAGGGAAAGAGAGATAGGAGCGAATCAAAAATGGATGTTAGTTAAACATTGTGGCATGAAGGAAAAGTACATATGGTAGAAGGCTGTAGACACACACAATAATCAATGTCATGTAACATGGGCTGTAAGAAACTATGACAAGCTTTGAACAAAAAGCCGCTGTTCCAAGCACAGTTCCGTGCTTTATAGGGGTTCATCATGGGCTTTTTTTGTTTTTCACATGGGCAGGTCTTGCTAATCACATTTGACATCACCATGGGCTGTGAGTCCCATGCCTCCTCATAGCGAAATATAACACTATCGTCTGGAAAGACGGAAAGGTGTCAATCCATCAATCAATCCCAGACTTGGTGAAAGTAGACTGCTTGAAGCAGGGGAGAAAAGAACCTGCCAAAGGAAATGCAGGTTGATGAATCTGAGGACTCCTGGAGTCATTAACCTAATGTCAGATACAACTGACGTTTTTATTATTGTCAAATCATTTTCATAGCAAGAACTGAATCCTTTTATGTATCAACCTTTTTTTTGTTTTTTTTGTTTAAAGTATAGTGTTAATTCCAAAAAAAAATTTGCATGCGCAAAGAAATAGATCCCTTTATGTATCCGAGTGTAATTTTGTGTGTGTCTAATGAAGTAATTACTATGTGTTTTTATGCAGGAAGGGCTTAATCCCATCCGACACCTGATGTACCGAGACATTGTAGAGAAGCATCACCTGACTGAAGAGTTTTGCACATCAGATCCGACAACAATGAGAGATCTATTGACATATATTGAGGACAGGTGACAATTTGATATCAGTTCTCTTGTTGCTGGTTTTCTTCTTCTTTGCGTTCACTGACTGTAAAACTTTCAAAAAGTTGTGGTTTTTGTCCACTTGTGGACTTTGGTCTTTTTTTTTTTTCAGAACTTGAGTTTTGCATGTACATCTGTTGTACAAATCTAGCTTATTTATGTGCAGGCTGTTGGATATTTGCCTGTCAGGCAGACACGTTGTCACTTTGAAGGAAACACCCCTAATTATTTAGTTACTTTTCTTGTATGACAGTGTTTATTGGAGGGGGGTGGGGGGGGGGGCAGTAGGTCTATTCTTTTCCTCCTAAAATAGGGCTCCTGAACGCACACTGGTAGTTGTTGATTTAAACATGTTAGGGCAGTGTTTCCCAGACTTGTCTTAGTCGCGGGGCCTTTTTTCAATTAAAAATATTTCCACAGCGCCCTAACCTGAGTAAAAGGATGACACTATTCGTATGTAAGAGATTAAAAAAACATGTATCTTCGAATATTTTGCGGCGCCCCTGTAAAGAGGTCGCACTGGGCTGCGGCACACAGTTCGGTAATCACTGTGTTAGGGTATTCATGGCTAAAGGATCAGGCTGTTTGCCTTATGCTTTGAAGGTCATTGAGTGATTTCAAGGACAGCCTCATTTGGTTCACAAAAGCAGTTTTTCTGAAAGTCCCTGTGGAGTTATGGAATTCATGCTTTGTGCAGTGATCTTTCTCTGGAGAGAGACTGAGCTATGTCGAATAAAACCCAGTTCAATGAAGTTGATCCTTTTTACTTTAAACCTTTTAACACCAAATTTACTTTTCAGATTTTGCATTACATTTTCTAGTGAGGACATAAAAGGGAGGTAAACATCAAATTGACACACCTTCAGGTCTAATTTTGCATATGGTGCAAGCCCAGGCTTTTTTCTGGCCAAAAAGTTGCCAAAACTCACTACAATATTTATAATAAAGCAAAACCACCAATTGTTATAGAATCAGATTTCTGACTCTAACTGCATGATGATTCGTTCTAATCTGTTAAATTCCAAGGACATCTTTAAAATGGGTTACTGGAATGTTAGAACCATGTACCAAACGGGGAAAACAGCTCAAGTGTGTAATGTTGTGAACGATTACAACCTGGATATTCTCGGTGTCAGTGAGTGTAGATGGGCTGGTTCGGGTAAAATATTTTTAAGTTGTGAACAAAAACAAAAAAGTCAACAGTTTCACTTATCTAGGGAGCAAGATGTCATCTACAGGAGATACCGCACCAGAAATATCATTTAGAATAGCACTGGCATCTAGTGCCTTCAATAAACTGTCTAACATCTGGAAATCAAAGACACTTAGCAAACACACAAAACTCAAGATCTTCAATTCTTGTGTGATTCCAGTACTAACCTATGGATGTGAGAGCTGGAAATCAACGAAAACTCTAGACACAAAATTATACAGTTTTGAAAATAAATGCCTTAGAAGAATACTAAATTTCAAATGGTCAGATTTCCGAACCAATACACAAATAAGGCAAAAATCCAGGCAAGAGTATGTGTCTAATTTTATACGAAAACGCCGCTGGAACTATGTCGGCCACGCCCTTAGAATGGATAAATCAAGACTTCCTTACCAAGCCCTCATTTGGAAACCACAGGGGAAAAGATCTCGTGGAAGACCAAGGGAAACCCTACGTAGAACTATCATCAGGGAAGGCTCGCTCATGGGCCACTCAAACATCCAAGACCTACAACGGATTGCAACGGACCGCCGTGCATGGAGAGTCGCGACCTCTGCCCTATGTGCCGCACTCGACACAAGAGGAAAGACTAACTAACTAACTGAAAAATGATGACTAAAACGTTCCAGTGTTGGCCACACAATATTTATAATATAGCACTGAAAAATGATGACTAAAACGTGCCTGTTTTGGCCACACAATATTTATAATATAGGACTGAAAAATGATGACTAAAACGTGCCAGTTTTGGCCACACAATATTTATAATAAAGCACTGAAAAATGATGACTAAAACGTGCCAGTTTTGGCCACACAATATTTATAATAAAGCACTGAAAGATGATGACTAAAACGTGCCAGTGTTGGCCACACAATATTTATAATATAGCACTGAAAAATGATGACTAAAACGTGCCAGTGTTGGCCACACAATATTTATAATAAAGCACTGAAAAATGATGACTAAAACGTGCCAGTGTTGGCCACACAATATTTATAATAAAGCACTGAAAAATGATGACTAAAACGGGCCAGTTTTGGCCACACAATATTTATAATATAGCACTGAAAAATGATGACTAAAACGTGCTAGTGTTGGCCACACAATATTTATAATAAAGCACTGAAAAATGATGACTAAAACGTACCAGTACTGTGAGCTGCCAGAAAAAAAGCTGGTACTAGCCCCAAATGGGGGAGGGGGGAAATATACCCACTGTCTCCCTTGCAAGCATGTCATAAAAGTCAAGATGATAGGGGTGTTTCCATTGAATTCAGGCAGCATCTGTTTTAGAGGCCAGGACACAACAGTCTGCATATAAAAAGCCAGATCTGGAAAGTGGAATGTGCTGGCACAACTCAAGTTCTGGAACAAGACTGATTTTAGGAAAGTGGTTAAACAACCGGAACTTTCCACCAGAGGTTACAGATGAAGGGTCGTCATCAGTGTTTTTTTTTTTTTAAATGTAGAGGTTTGTTTGTTGTTGAAGTGTCACAACTATAGGAGAGCCCTAGGTAGGGTATGGTTCCTGTATAGGAGATATCTTCAGTCTATATATGGCTCACTAGACGTATGGTAACTTCATTGTCTACTAGGGTAGAGAGACCGAGATATTACTCCTGGGACAGAGGACAAGAAAATAAGTCTACCCCGCTCCAATGGTGTGGTGCTAAGGCAAGCTAGTTATCTTGGTGGTAACTCCTCTGCCACTGTTAAAGAAAGAGCCCCCAGAGAGAAAGCAAAGAATGCCTCCTTCTCGCTCACTCACGTACAGCAACAAAGACAGACGAGAATAGTAGTGAATGAAGAATAATTTTGTAGCTTTAATTCTACTGACAACTGAGTGGCTAAAAATTGACGGTGGTTTGGTGTTCTTTAAACCACAATGGGTATCATCATTAGGGAATGAGAAATGTCTACTCCGTCCAGTTCCTTCCCCGCACAAGTACAGCTCATTCAGGAAGATTCCTGAAGGTTTGACAAGGTGCGGAAACAGGAACACTTGGCTTTTGTAGCTGTGATTTCTTGTGATATCCTCGGCTGTAATGGTCCACTGCTGATGTTCAGTGTGTAACCCAACAGTTACAGTCCACTGAATGTTCTTAAGTTCACTTCCGACACGTGGTCGTTAGAAAAATACGACACGTGGTCGGTTAAAAATACGACTCATAGTCGGTTAAAAAATATTGGAATCAGATTCCTTACATAGTCTCTTTGTCTGTGCCAGTTCTATGGCGACAAGACAATGTGTACAATTGGTGTACTTATTGATGTGGCATTGGTAGTATGAAAAATGCCACAGGGCTGGGGGAAGATAGTAAAGGCCCTCATAAGCATGTGCAAAAAAAAAAGAACACATAGTTTCCCGAATTTGCTGGTTCTCTGGGCCCTTCAGAATTTATTAACTGAATTAAATATTAATCTAATTCAGTTACGATGGTTTACATAGTACACCGCATTTAAATATAAGCTTCGGTACTTAACTTGTAGAGATGAGATTAAACCCAGGTGGCAATATATTTTGATATCAGTCACCTCTCGAACTCCAGCCAGCAAATTCAGGGATAACAATTCTTAATATTAATTAATAATACATTAATAGAAAATAAGGGTACACATACCGAAGTTTTACAATTAGAAGAAGAGTGCCAACTTACCCCTCAGATCTGTCAGAAATCACTACAGTAATCCAGAACGAATTAATATAACACTACACTCGCTAGTATGAATACTGAACTTGAAAACTGACTGAACTTTACTCAACCGCCTCTGAGAATGAAATGACCGAAAAGTTGGCGTTTTTCGCCCTACATGGACGACACGTGACCACACCCATACGCATGCACCAAAGAGAGGGCATCATTGGTCGGGCAGGGCGCTGTGATTGGTCGCCAAATTGGCAGTCCAGGATTCGAACGTAAACTAGTCCTATCTGGTTTTTAGCGGAAAGTGATAGGGGAAAGCCGGTTGCTAGGCGACGCGAAAATATCATCAAAGTCGGCGTAAGCAACACTCATGTTTCTACAGGGATAGAATCGTGTCCTCTAACTTCTGTTATATATATATCTAACTTACAGGTAACTAGGGGAGTGTCAGTGGTCATTGCCAGTACTGTCACATGAAGACAGGTTGTTAGTTTATTTGTTGTTGACAAGTTGTTAGTTTAATTGTTGCTGAAGAGAAGTTGTTAGTTTAATTGTTGTAGAAAAGTTGTTAGTTTAATTGTTTTTGAAGACAGGTTTGTTTATTTAATTGTTACTAAAAACTGGTTGTATTTAATGGTTACTGAAGACAGGTTGTTGGTTTTCTGTTTTACATATAATGGTACAGGTGTAAATTTTGACAGTGTACAAATTAAAATGGAACTCTCTGTCCCCAGATACACGTCTGTAGAACAATACCTGGTCTCCATTGGGTTTACCAGAGAGGAGCAGCAGAAGCTGAAGATAAACCTGGAGCTATGATGGCAGCTCTCATAGATGAGCCTGACTCAGACCTGCTAGCCAACATGGGGCCAAAGATTAACAGTCAGATATTTCCAGGAGTTTCTGTGCTATGAATAACCAGATGTTTGTCTTGAAGTCGGTGTTCGAAGGCAAACATTGTTGAAAGACTTGAGGGCATCAGGTGAAAACCATCATCATCATTGTCATATAACAGATCCTTTGCAAAACATTGCTCTCATCATAGCATGCCGGAAAAACCACTGGGTCCCTTGGCAACTTTACCACCTGATGAACTACTTTCAGCATGAGGTGTCGGTGTTGTACTGTGTCCACCTTCATGTTGGTAGTTCCCTGCCTCTTTTACCTGAAAACGAACCTACCATTACTATTCTTTCAAAACTATCATGTTTAATATTATATATATATATATATATATATATATATATAAGTATTTCAGCATCTGAGAAATGATACTGTTTATGAGCCAGCTTGCTTAGATAGTCAAATTCTCAAGAATGTTAATATGTTCTATTATCAGAATCTATGATATTTTAAGAAAACATCAACATTTGTGATGTAGGTGTAAAGTTATATAAATCCATTTTAACATTTATGCCACTGCTGGGATAACACACAGATGTTGAGGTAACTCAGGTGCAGGAAGAACTCTCTCAGATGTTGGGGAAAACTCTCCCTCAGGTTGAGATAACTCTTCTTTATTTTGGGATAACTCTTGAATGTCGCATTAATACCACTGCTGAGATAACACACAGATGTTGAGATAACTCAGATGCAGAAAAGTCCTTTCCCATCAGTTGGGGTGACTCTCCCTGAGGTTGAGGTAACTCTTCCCTTATTTTGGGATAACTCTTGAATGTTGGGATAATTCTTTCACGTGTTAGGATAATTCTCTCAAATGTTATTATAATTCTGTCATTTGATGGGATAATACTCTCATATCTTACAATTACTCTCTTATTTTTTGGAATAACTATTCCTGGTGTTGGAATAACTTTCAGATTTTAAATAATTCTCATGAATACCAGATTCACTCTCAGACATTGAGATAACTCTCCATGACTTTCAAAAATCCCATAAAAGTTTAGATAATTTTCTGAAATGTTGAGATAGCTTTAGTCCAGTAAGTTCATGTAGATGGTTTTTATAGACTTTTGTTGTACATTCTGTAACATTTTTGTGTGCCAAATTTTTATTTGAATGGACTTTATTTGATAATTTACTTCTTAATTGTTGGCTTTATTTTGTCCTGTTTTTTAAATGTAATTTTGTAACAATCAGTGCACACTAATCTGTACATAATTTTAAAAGCGGTGCACATTGATCTCTTCATGATTTTATAATCAGTGCACCTTATTCTATATAATCATATAGTCGATACACTAGCATCTCTAAATTATAATAGTCAGTACACTTCCATCTCTACATAATCGTATAGTCAGTACACTTCCATCTCTACATAATCTTATAGTCAGTGCACTTCCATCTCTACATAATCATATAGTCAGTACACTTCCATCTCTACATAATCTTATAGTCAGTACACTTCCATCTCTACATAATCATATAGTCAGTACACTTCCATCTCTACATAATCTTATAGTCAGTGCACTTCCATCTCTACATAATCATATAGTCAGTGCACTTCCATCTCTACATAATCATATAGTCAGTTCACTTCCATCTTTACATAATCTTATAGTCAGTACACTTCCATCTCTACATAATCTTATAGTCAGTACACTTCCATCTCTACATAATTTTATAGTCAGTACACTTCCATCTCTACATAATCTTATAGTCAGTACACTTCCATCTCTACATAATTGTATAGTCAGTACACTTCCATCTCTACATAATCATATAGTCTGTACACTTCCATCTCTACATAATCATATAGTCAGTACACTTCCATCTCTACATAATCGTATAGTCAGTACACTTCCATCTCTACATAATCTTATAGTCAGTACACTTCCATCTTTACATAATCTTATAGTCAGTACACTTCCATCTCTACATAATCTTATAGTCAGTACACTTCCATATCTACATAATCATATGGTAAGTGCACATCTATTTCTACATAATCATATAATTAGTGCACATCCATCTCTGCATAATCAAAATCAGTGCATGTCCATGTTAGTATAATCAGTGCGCACCCTCAAATACATTATTATGTAACGGTGTTCACACCCATATCTACATTTGATATCTAGTTTACATTCATCTCTACATGATCTTATAACTAGTGTATTTGTATTTTCATTTCATTGTTAAATTTAAATCTATACATCTATGTCTGTATGAGTTATTAAACAGTACGCATCTGTGTCTTTAATTTGTAAACATTTGCATACTCTTATGTTATGATTTATTAAAATCAGTGCACATTTATCGACTATTTTATTGCTGTATGTTTAAGTATATACACGTTATAATCAATTTATATCTGTCTATATCTAGTTTCAACTTCAGCTCCATTCCCTCAAGGGATGCGAGGAAGTTTTGTTTTTGTGGGAGGGGTGGGGGGCATCAATCAGTTCTGCAACTCAGTTCATCTGTACTTGTCATTATCTGTTATACTAACATGTTTCTGTTTAATTATTAATAAAAAATATGTTAAAAACTGTTTAAAAAACAAAAAGCCTAAGACATTTGTTTTCCTGGGCAGTTTGTACCTCTGCCAAACAAATAATTAACAGGTAAGCACATGCATTATTTTCTTCTTCTGCTTCAGCATTCCGAGCCCTTGAGGTTCATTGCTGCAGACATCTCATGCCTCAATTCATCTCTCTGGTTGGCCTTCTTCAGCATTCCCAACCCTTGAGGTTCATTGCTGCAGATATCACCTGCTTCCATTCATCTCTCTGGTTGGCCTTCTTCAGCATTCCCAACCCTTGAGGTTCATTGCTGCAGATATCACCCGCCTCCATTCATCTCTCTGGTTGGCCTTCTTCAGCATTCCTAACCCTTGAGGTTCATTGCTGCAGATATCACCCGCCTCCATTCATCTCTCTGGTTGGCCTTCAGCATTCCCAACCCTTGAGGTTCATTGCTGCAGATATCACCTGCTTCCATTCATCTCTCTGGTTGGCCTTCTCTTTCCAGCTGGTGACACCAGGTGCTTGTAGGTCTGTCTGGATATTATCTCTCCATTGTCTTCTTGGTGTACCTCATGGTCTACGACCATTCAGCTCCCTTGTGTTTACACTTATTACCTCTTTGTCATCTGACATTCTTTGAATATGCCCCAACCGTTTCAGTCTATTAGCTCTTATGATTCCAGTGATCAGTGGTGATTTAAACAGATTATGAATTTCCTTTTTGCTTCTCACTTTCCATTCACCGCTGTTTGCATCTTTGATGGCTCCAAAGATTTGTCTTAGGACTGTTTTGAAAACTTGCAATTGAGAACTATTGCTTGAAACAATCTAACAGTTTTACTCCTCTCATAACACCTGATAAATGAAGAACTCTTTCACGGTGCTATTATATTATCCCTTTTGCCACATTAAAATCTTTTGAAATGACCTTTTGCAAAACTGTTAAAAAGAAAGGTATCTGTATAATTCTCTGCAACCCTATCATGAGAAACTAGTCAGTGAAAAAGAAGCAAAAGTAACTATTGTTGTCGGTGTTTATAGAAATCCAGGTGGGTGGGGGGGGGGGATTCAGGGGGGGTGGGGGGTGGGGGGGGGGGGGGGGGGGGGGTTTGTAGCCCATGACTTAAGCAGACATGGGAATGCCCAGTGTACCGTGACATCAATTGTGAAAACATAACCTGATAAATGAATTATGTAGTGTCTCATATGTAGCCTGTTTGACAATCTGTATGTTTTCTGATGACTAGTTTGTGCAGGGCAATCCCCGTATAGGTTCTCACTAGACCTCTCTTTGGGAGCAAAAGGAACAGATTCGCTGCTTCTAAACAAGCATGTCATAAAAGGCAACTGATAAACGGTTTTGCTGACATCTGATTTGTTGGACTGGAAGACACAGATATCACAGTCTAGCTGGAAACAACACCGCAGTGCACCGACTGCAGTTATATCTTTCACTAGCAAACAGATGTTACTGAAAATGTTCTAGGCTGTTAGCTCATGTAGTCAGTGTTAGGAGAGCTCATGTAGTCAGTGTTAGGAGAGCTCATGTAGTCAGTGTTAGGAGAGCTCATGTAGTCAGTGTTAGGAGAGCTCATGTAGTCAGTGTTAGGAGAGCTCATGTAGTCAGTGTTAGGAGAGCTCATGTAGTCAGTGTTAGGAGAGCTCATGTAGTCAGTGTTAGGAGATGCAGGCGGCAGTGCTCCATAGTCATATGTGCAAAAATTATATGTGATTCTGTATGTCAGTTAACACCTGGGCTGCTAGATTGTTTCATATTATTGTCGCATTATTGTCACATAACCAGATGTATATCTATAACACTTTGTTGTTTTTGCTTTCCATTTTATTTGTTGGCCTTTGCTTACTATTCTATTTTTTTTTGGGGGGGGGGGGGGGGGGGGGGGGGGGGGGGGGGGGGGGGGGGGGGGGGGTTGCTTTTTATTCTGTTTTGTGTTTTTTTGGCTTTCTATTCTTTTTTTTTTTTTTTTTTTTTTTCTATTTAAATTATAATTTTTATTTTTACTTTTTGCTGTCAGTTGTGTTTTATTGCTTTTGATTTCTATTGTGTTATCTTGTTTTTACTTTCAGTTTTACTTTGTTGCTTCTGTTTTTCATAATCTTGATTTTGGTTGTATTCTGTTTTTGTCTTTCCTTTTTATTTCTGGTGTTTTTACCTTTCAGGGGTTGTATTTGTTGCTTGTTGTATAATTTCTTTGCATCTATGACTTAGTGGATGTGAATGCAATTCCACAAGTCTGCTTCAGGCGATTTGTTAGCAGACAATGTTCCATTGATTTCAACAACAGGATACATGTCATATCTGTCGAAAAGTAATGTCAAACTATACAATTAAAATCGACATAGTGAAATGACACCAACATAAATGCTATG